TATATTAGAGTGTCACCTTACTTTGTATGATTATGGCTATGTGTTTTGCTAACCTGTTATGCTATGAGGTGGATGAGAATGTTATGTTATATGATGTTGCCTCCATGCAAATTATGCCTTGGCTTATGCTATGTTGAGTGCCATGAATGTTTATGATGATATGTTCTTGCCATAGCATGAACATAAAGTTAAAGTATGCATGCGTGTAGCTTGATTTACAATGTATTGTGTGATCTTGATAATGTATGCAATTGCTACTAAGATTCTCCAAGAATCTTACCCTAATATTTAAACAAACCCTAAGGCCTTCAACAACCAAGGGCAAAGAAAAGGAGTTGGCTCTTACTTGAAGAGGTAGTAAGCTATAGTGACTTTATATGGCTTTGAACCTTTCTATTTTGGAAAAATGTAATATTAAGCATGCTTTAAGTTTCTAATAGTATGACTAAGATTAGAAGTATACAAGCATGATTAGAAATAGCTAATATAGCTAATGAAAGTATGTTATGATGGTAAATGGTCAATTAAGTAGAGTTATCCTTCCAGGGGGTAAAAAGTCAACTAAAAGGGATTAAAGTTTGACTAATGACCATTTGAGTAAACGAGTGAGTTAGGTTATGAAATTTGGTGAGCAAAGAGATCTGATTTTTCTATTTAAAATGAGGGGTAGTTTGCCTGATTCCAATAACCAACCAAAAAGTTATGCCTTTCTAAAGTTAGGAAAAAATAAAGTAAAAATCCAAAAATGACCAAATGAATAGTAAGGTTTTCAAAGAAAACTGGACTCAAATTTTAAGACAACCAGTCCAAAAACTACTTTTCCTTGAAATTTTATCCAAAGAGCTTTCCATAGAACTTAGAATTACTCAATTTTGATTTTTCTACAATTAGTTATGAATTTTTAAAGTTGACAAAGATTTCAGTGAAATGTGAATAGTATGCAGAAGCATTCTGTGACTTGAGGTCGCAACCTGAGAAGTTGAGGTCGTGACCTGGAGGCAGAAATGGCCTCTGTGACTTCAAGTCACGACCTAAAAGCACTAAGTTGCGACTTGAACTGGGAAAATGAAAAAGTTTCAAATTTTTAAGCCTTTTCTCATACTTAAGGTTCATATAAAGTTTCAAACGTGATTTTTCATAACTTGTAGTCTTCAAAAGTGATTCCAAATGCTTCCACAAGGCAAGTTATTTGGTATAAACATAACGTGTTGCAGGTATCAGAGCAGGTCTCTTTAGTAAAAGATTTAACATTCCGAAGAGGGGTCCTATGTGATAGAATCCAATCTTTATATGGTTTTCTCAAGTGTTTTCTAATGTTTTGCAACAATTTTATCCTCATTATGCATGCATTTATATCCATTTGATTACATTGAGTCATGCAGTGCATTTTACTGTTTAAGGGGTAAAAAGGGTCATTTTTCTCTTCTCAATTTTAATTGCCTTGATCTGTAATCAGTTGGTCTTTACAAAGCTCTTTGTTGTGATTTTCAGGCAACTGGAGAAGGACCCGAGAACCATGATGGAGTATGGATGGAGCCAAAATGTTACAAGGACTAAAACACAAGAGTTGGGAGTGTTCTGCCTCCCCAGGTCACGACATGGACTCCTGAGGTCGCGACCTAAATGCCTATTAGTGAAACTATGCATTTGGACCTAAGTTAAGATGAAAGCTCTATCTTCCCAGGTCACGACATAGAACTTATGAGGTCACGACCTGACCTTCCTGAGTTGCGACCTGACATTCCTGAGGTCATAACCTGAGTGCGTTAAGTGAAGCTGTGCATTTTGGAATAGGTTTCTAAGCTTCTATACCTAAGGGGGGCAGCAACCACGAGAACACACTCTCCCATTCAGCAGATTTACAAAAGGTTGAGCCACCATCATTTTCTCTCAAGTCTCCATTGATCCTACACCCAAAACTTCCATTTTTCTTTATCTCTTCATCATTTTCTGTATTTCTGGACCGATCAAACCACTCCAACCACCTTTTTCTCCATTTTTCTAATTTCATTTTTAGCTTTAACTATGGCTGTTCATTCCTGGAGCGATTGCTATTGGTTTGAAGGCATGAGAGGCTAAACCCCTTAGCCTCTTGGTGATAGAGAATGAAGCTTGAGCTCAATGACTTAATCGTGGAGTTTTTCTATAGTCTAAACCTTTGTTTGATGATATGCTGAATATTTCTAGATTTAGGAACTTTCTGCACTTGTATCAAACTTGGTTTATGATTGTAAATCTGGTGTTTAGACTATTGTATTGTATTTGGATTGGATGATGTTAATGTTGATTAATCTATATAATATTTCAGTTTGAATCCTTGTGTTCAGTTTGATTTTCAGTGATTATTGCTGATTAATCTGTGTGCTTGGTATTTTGTGCTTGTCGATTGACATTAAGAGGGCATTTACATCATCCGTTCATCTACACTCTAAGTGGTTTTCAATGTTGTCTTAAGAGATGTTAATTAACTTTGATTAAAGTGAGTTTTCATTAGTTAAGACATTGGACCCAAGTAATTACTTAGGGTTTTCTTTAGACTTAGAGTTGTCTAAAACTCCCAATCATTTTAAATTTTTCATTATCAAGAGACTGTTTAACCATAATCCCCTTTTAATCCAAAACATTTCTTCGTTCATTTAAAATACCAAAAACAGTTAGCTTTCTACACTTTACATTTGTTGCATCACCTTTAAAATACTAAAACCCCCTTTTACTCACTCAAATTTACAATGTTTTTGAAAACCAACTTAGACTAGGATTTCCAATAACAAGCTCCTTGAGAAGAATGACGGGTTGCATCCTACACTGCATTTTTCTAGTACAACTCATTTTTTTGACGATCTGGAAGGTGACAATCTGACTTCAATCAATGGCGCCGTTACTGAGGAGCCATTGAATTAGTTCCCTAGTAATTGGTTTTCCTTACCATTGTGATTTGGGTTAATTCTCGTAGAGTTCTAGTTTTTGAACTTAAATCTTGCATTTCATATCATCAAAATTTTTGAGAAATAGAACCAAATATCTTGTTTTTCTTTACATTTGCATTTGTATTCTTGCATAGCATTTTGCATTTTGTTTTAGCTTGATCCTGAGTGTTTTAGCCAATTGCTTGAAATTTTGAACTCTGTGCATAGTTTGTTCAGCATCTGGTTAAAGTACTTAGTGAATTTTTCAAAGGTTTTGTGAAAATAGCTCTCTATGACTTTGAGTCGCAACCTCGTATATTTGGACTTGCGACCTCAGTGATTGAGTTATGACCTGGCTTGTGGCTTGTCGCGACCTCAGCCTCTTGTTTTCCAGTGTTGCTCTCGGTCTATTTAAGTCGTGACCTGGACTTTTACAAGTTACGACCTCAATTCCCTCTTCTTTCAGGGTTGCTTTCTGTTCATTGAAGTTGTGACCTGGATTACCCAAGTCGTGACCTGATCTGGTTTTCCACTGAAAATTTTCCTGAGTGTCCAGACTTACTCTTTTTGCATAACTTTGCTTTATGCATATACTTTGAGAGTGTATAGCACTTCATACACCTCAAACTTACTGAGCACTATTTCAAATCATTGAGTTTGCCTCAATTTTGAATCACACACTTGGTAAATACACTGTTTTGAACCTACCTCTTTCTTGAACTCTATCTGTGCTTGAATTTTTGAGTAATTGTGCATGCCTAGAGCACGTAAAGGCAGGAGAGGTAGACATACAAGATCTCGTAGCCTGCTTATTTTATGAGACCTATCCCATTCATCTAGTGAGAGTAAGGAAGTAGAAGAAGAAATTATGGCTGAAGTACCTCCTCATGGTCTAAATGGTGGGAATGGGAATGGTAACCATAATAGACCTAATAATGGTGGTAATGAGGGGCAAGGAAAAAATAATGGCCAGAATAGGATTAATGAACAACCTAGGGGTAGAACCATTAAGGAACTAACTCAATCTGATGGGAACTTTGAACCTATGCCTGGTGCTTTTCCTACTTTCAATGTAGATTTTGAAATTAAAGGGCAATTGATCCACTCATTGCCTAAGTTCCATGGTGTTGTAGGAGAAAACCCATACTTGCACCTTCGAACTCTTTATATGTAGTGCTTGTCCATAAAGCCAGTAGGGGCCAGTATTGATTACGTTATGTGGAAGGTTTTTCACTTATCTTTGGAGGGCAAAGCTAAAGAATGGTACATGAACCTGACTCTATGTGGATAATGCTTATGAGTCATGGACCAGTTTGAAGAAAGCATTCTTGGATAAATATTTCCCCTCCATAAAGATTTCAGCGGCCATAAGGAAATTTCAGGAGCTAAGCAAGAGCCATTCGAGACATTCTTTAAATTTTAGAGCAGATTTCAAGAGATGGTTACCTGGTGCCCTAACCATCAGATTCTTGAGGAGCACTTGGTACAATATTTCTACAATGGGTTGTCAACATATGATGCATAAGTTTTGGATGCCGCTACAAATGGGTCTGTGGAAAATATGGAACCAAGGGTTACATGGGAGTTAAGAAGGACCTTTACTCTTAATAGATAACATGCGAGCTCAAGGGATTCAAGGGACCACAAATCTGAAAGAGACCCCCTGCTGGTAAAGCTAGCTCAAGACATGTCTAAACTTGCAAATACGATTGAAAGCCTTCGCTCCAACAAGACTCAATCTCTTGCCTTAGTAGCTATAAGTTGTGAAGTTTGTAATTCACCAATGCATACTACTCCAAATTGCCCTGGGCTGGTTGAAGAAGTAAATGCCATGTACCAAGGAAGAGAGGGGTAATATAAAAAAAGGGACCCCTACTTAAACACCTACAACCCCGGTTGGAGAGATCATCCAAATTTCAAATAGGGTGGGGGAGCAAATAGACCAAACCAGTTCTAAGGCAATCAGTTCCACAATCCTGGGGCCTCCTCAAGCACATTTCAAGATCCTTCAAGAGCAGTAGTGACAACTCCACAACAGACTATGGTATCTCAACCACGCCAAGAGGGGATGATACTTCTTAGCTTTTAAAGAGCATGGCTGCTCGGATGACGAACATAGAGGGGCGAATGAAGGAGAGTGATGACAAGTTCATCTCCATAACTACCATATGGCAAGGGATACAGAAAGATAACTCAGATGTTCATAAGAAATTGGAGGAGCTGACTTTGAAGAACACTGATATCACCAGTCATTTAACCCAACTGTATAATGCGGTCAATGACATGCAAACCAAAAGCGGAGGAAGCATTCCCTCCAATATAGTGATCAATCGAAAGGGCTTTAATGCCATAACTCTAAGAAGTGGTAAAAAGGTTCACTTTGAAATTAAGAAAGTGGACAAAGATGATTTTGAACAAGGGGTAGAGAGTTCTCCACTTTCCCTAATGAGGCTTGGCAAGTTTGGGAGCTCCATAGAAGAAGAGCTCATGATGAAGGCAAGAGCACAAATTGAACCAGAAGAGAAGTTAACTCAAGTACAAGAAGAAGTACCTCAAGAAGCTGTGCCAGAAGATGAAAGCACTATAGAGAGCTTGGCTTACAAAGGAAAGCAAAAGGAGGACAAGGCAGAAACTAGCACACAAGGAGTCTCTAAGCCTTCAGGTAAGGAGGTATGTGCTAAAGACCTCTCTTTTCCTAAAGCCTATTTCTCTGGTAAGAAAAAGTTTGATGTTGAGTTTGCTACTAATGCTTACACATTGTTTAACAAGCTGGAAATTAATGTGCCCATAATTCAGTCCTTAAGAGGGAATCCTAAATACTTTGAATTACTAAAGGAACTATGTAATAACAAGCAAAGGTTTAGGCCCCTTGAGAGAATTCAAGTGGGTAGTAATGTGTCATCCTTATTTAAGGCCAAACTACCTATTAAGTTCCAAGATCTTGGATCTTACACAATCCCCTGTACCATAGGAAAGGTTCACATCAAGGGAGAGTTGTTAGATTTAGGAGCTGCTATAAATGTCATGCCTTGGTCGGTTTATTTGGCATTAGGGATTAATGGGATTAAAGGCACAAGTGTAGTGCTCCAACTAGTAGATCGGTCTATTAGGTATCCTAAGGGCATAATCGAGGACATTCTAGTTCAAGTCAAGGACCTAGTATTCCCTACTAATTTCTATGTTTTAGATATGTCGAATGAACTTGCAAATGAGAGCACTTTGATTTTGGGAAGACATTTCCTACAAACCTCTAAGACTATCATAAGCATGAAACATAGCTGTATAACAATGGAAGTGGGAGACCATGTTGTAACTTTTAATATGAATGAAGCTATGCATTATCCTTTTGACAATTCTGTATTCATGGGTTTAAATGCCATTGATTTAGCTGTTGAGCAAGCAAGGGATGAACATGAGCTGTATATGTATGATAGTTATGACACGAGTTCACCTAAATTGATTGGTTCTTCTGCTGCACCATCACATGAATCCTATGAGCTTAACTCATCTTTGAGTGCTTATGATGAATACTTCAATTCCCTCTCTTCTGTTTATTCATTTTCTAGTTCTTGTGGGAATGAGGTGCCATGCATCAATTCTCTAGAAATTGATAGCATTCTTTCTATTTCTCAAGACTTTTCTTTCCCATCAAGTTTTGATTCCATTTCTGCATTTATAACTCACATTGGCCTTAGAAGGAGTTTGTTAGTTAATGATGCAGTTTTTCAAGAAGTGGAGAGTACTGAGAGTGGAGTAAAATTCGAGGATATGAGCCTCTGTGATATGAGGTTGCGACTTAAGGATTCTCAAGTCGTGACTTCAGACCAAGCTTATAAAGAAGGTGGCCTCTGTCAAGTGAAGTCGCGACCTGAGGGTTATCAAGTCGTGACTTCAACCTAAGCAATCCAAGAGGGTGACCTCTGTGAAGTTAGGTTGCGACCTGGAGATATGAAGTCGCAACCTGAGTCTCCTGTTTCACTTCCTGAACTTTAAACTTCAATTGCTTTACCACCTCATATCTTGAAGACTTTGGTTGAAGGGCCAACACTCTTTGACTCAATTGCTACTCATACACATTCCAAGATTACACCCCATACCTTACGATTTCTGAATGATCTAATTTCTAACAATGATGTAGGTATGGAGGTAAACCAACCTAAGGTTGTTGCTACTTTAACCAACTTGAGCTTGGTGCAACATCTGATAAGATTGAAGCAAGCATAGTGGATCTAAGTGAAGCTGACGAGTGCATTTCACAAGGGTCTCAAAATAGGAGTTTCTCTAACTTTACTAATATTTCTACTCTAATTCCCTCTGTTGTTCAGCCTCCAACTTTAGAACTGAAAGATTTACCTCCCAACCTTAAATATGCTTATCTTGAGCCTAAGAATAAACTGCCTGTCATTATTTTTAGTTCTTTAACTGAATATGAAGAAACTAGTTTAATAGGAGTCCTTAGAAGAAATAGGGAGGCTTTAGGTTGGCAATTAGCTAACATTAAGGGAATAGACTCCACTGTGTGTACACATACGATCTTACTGACTGAAGATTCCAAGCCAATTAAACAAAGCCATAGGAGATTGAATCCTCTAATTTCTTATGTGGTTGGGAAAGAAGTAGACAAACTTCTGAGAGCTAGAATCATATACGCTATTTCTGATAGCGAGTGGGTGTCACCGTTACAAGTCATGCCAAAGAAGAGTGGGATTACAGTAGTTAAAAATGAAAACAATGAACTTATCCCAATTAGGGTGTAAAACTCATGGAGAGTTTATATCGATTATAGGAAGCTGAATGATGCCGCTAGGAAAGACCATTCTCCCTTACCCTTTATTGATCAAATGCTTGAATGATTAGCTGGGAAGAGTCACTACTGTTTCCTAGATAGATACTCTAGATATTTTCAAATTCCTATAGACCCTAGAGACCAAGACAAGACCACCTTCACTTGTCCCTTTGGAACCTATGCTTATAAAAGAATGCCTTTTGGTCTTTGCAATGCCCCTAGCACATTCCAACGCTGTATGCTATCCATTTTTGCTGAATTTATTGAAAAATGCATGGATGTGTTCATGGATGGTTTTACTGTATATGAGAATTCTTTTGAAGATTGCTTGAAAAGTCTTGACTAAATCTTAGCATAATGCATTGTGAAAAAGATGGTTTTGAATTATGAAAAATGTCATTTCATGGTTAATCAAAGCATCATGCTAGGACATTTAATCTCTGAAAAAGGAATTAAGGTAGATAAAGCCAAGGTAGAGGTGATATCTTCTTTGCCCTATGATTTAGCCCAATTATTCTATGTTATTTCATATCATTTTAAGGGTATTTATCATAGATTTTGGCTCCTTTTGATGATAATTGTGCTTAATTTAGATTAAGAATCCTTGCTTTGAGTTAGTGTCTTTTTGAGGTTAAGATTGTCATAATTGGTTATTAATTGTATTCAGTTGATTTCTAGGACAATTGATGCTTCAAATTGTTGCTTTTTATTGTAGGACAATTGAGAATTGGAGCCAAGATCAAAGACCAAAGGATGACACAACACACGATCAGAGTATCAGCACTAATAGAGTTCGCCGCGGCGCCAAATTGAAATCTCACCAGTAATCTCTTGGGCAGAGTTCGCCGCGGCCAACTTACAGCTTCGCCGCGGCGAAATCACAAGATTAGGTGGAGCTCCTCTCGGGCATGCTTCGCCGCAGCGAAGGATTTCCTTCGCCGCGGCGAACTCTTCGTATCAGCAACGCCAGATCCGGATCAGAATGCGAAAATGGAGCTTCTAATCATATAATCCAACCCAGATGGACCCCTAAAACCCTTAGAAACCCTATTTTCGACAAGACACTCCATTCCATCTCCTACAACACCTCTATTCTCCCATCCTCTTGCCTCTCCACCTCCATCTTCTTCCCCATCCATTTCCTTTATCTTTCATTCACTCCATCTCAATTCCTTCCACTCCTAGCTACCATGGCCGACGGATTCACTTCAGTTGGAGCTTTTCTTGAAGCTATGGAGAGCTAGGGTTTATCAACTCTTGAAGAATGGTGGTGTGGCTTGAGTTCCTAAGCTTCAAAGGGGAGTTTAGTTTCAGTTTGCAATTTTTAGCTATGATTTATGGCTTTTTAGGTCTAGGAGTTGTAATTTCTTAGTTAGGAACTTGGGACTGATACTGTAATTATTGGTTAATGATTACATTTGTAATTTGGATTGATTGATGTTGAACTTTGTGCTTAAATATATGTAGTTGCATATATGCTTATTGTAACTCTCATGATTCTCTCTTATCTTGCATAGTTGTGTTTGGGTACTGAGTTGATTGTGTGTTTCATTAAGCCAATTGCATGATCATTCCAAAATTACATATTAGGGAAGCTTAACAAAGTTTTCATTAATGAGTTCATTAATGTAAGCTTTGGACTCAATGAGTTATTGAGGTTGTTATTAAGAAAACCTAATGATTTGTGAAACTCCCAATATTTTAAGTGAACTATGATTGCCATCAAAGCCATTTTCAAGAGATTTCCTATCATTCATTTCCATTCCATCATTATTATCTTAAAACACCAAAAATATAGTATCTTAGGTTTGTTTTCATTGCATTTAGTTTAGGGACCATTCATTTAAGTCTTAAAAACCTAAAACCCCATTTCATTGCATTGCATGGCATTTAGTCTAGCTTAGGTAATTAATAAAGGCTCCCAAAAGTGAAACGACCCGAGTTTGCACTATACTGCATAGCTTGGATATATTTTTGATTGAGAACCCCAAGGCGAACGACAAAAAGGCTCTCTCGTCACCCTACCCTACTAACTTGAAAGAGTTGAGGTCCTTTTTAGGACATGTGGTGTTCTATAGAAGGTTCATCAAGAATTTTAGTAAAATCGCTTTACCTCTTTCCAAACTACTGCAAAAAGATGTTGATTTTTAATTTGACCATGCATGTGAGCTTGCTTTTGATGAATTGAGGAATAGGCTAGTTACTCCTCCTATTTTGACCTCTCTTAACTAGGATTTGCCTTTCAAAATTTCTTGTGATGCTTCAAACTTAAGTGTGGGTGCAATGTTGGGTCAAAGGGAGAATTCTGTTTTGAAAGTGGTTGCTTATGCCTCTAAAACTCTAGGTGCAGCTTAGAAAAACTATACCACTACTGAGAAGGAATTGTTTGTAATTTTTTTTGCACTTGATAAGTTTAAACCATATCTAATAAATTCTAAAGTGGTTGTGTTTGCAGATCACATAGCAGTGAAATACCTCTTCCATAAACCTCAATCGAAGCCAAGACTCTTGAGGTGGATGTTATTGCTTTAAGAATTTGATGTGGAAGTAAAAGACAGAGCTGGAAATGTCAACCATGTGGTAGACCATCTGAGCAGGCTACCTTTAGAAACCAAAGGAGTACTCGATTCTGATATTATCTGTGATTCATTCCCTGACCAATCTCTATGTGCTTTGTCTGTTTCTCAACTATGGTTTACTTACTTAGTTAACTATATTGCTACTGGTCTAACCCTTCTCACTTGACCACCTTTCAGACTCAAAAGCTTAGGAGCGAAACTTCCTATTATATTGGGGATCTACTGCACCTATAGAGGTCATGTTCTGACCAAGTGATTAGACGATGCATTCCGAAAGTAGAGGCTCGGGCCATTCTAAAGGCTTACCATGATACCTTATGTAGGGAGCACTTTAGTGCTAGAAAAATAGCTAGGAAGGTTTTAAATGCAGGATTTTATTGGCCTACCTTATTTAGAGATGCATTCACTTTTTGTAAGGCATGTAATAAATACCAACGATTTGGGAGGTTAATAGAAGGAACGAAATGCCACAGCAACCTATCTTGTTTTGTGAGATCTTCGCCGCTTCGGGGATAGACTTTATGGGCCCCTTTCCACCTTCCTACGGTTACATCTACATTTTCCTAGCTGTAGATTACCTCTCTAGGTGGGTAGAAGCCATCCCCACACGTAAAGATGATACACCCATGGTTTCCAAATTTCTGAAGTCCACTATCTTTAGTAGATTTAGGGTATCTAAAGTACTAATAAGTAATCAGGGAACCCACTTCTGCAACAAGTTACTCAATAACTTGTTGGCAAAATATGGGTTTCCCACAAAGTGTCCTTCCCTTATCATCCTCAAACCAATGGTCTGACTGAAGTATCAAATATAGAGATCAAATGCATCTTGGAACAGATTGTCAAGCCCTCTAACAGAGACTAAAGCTTGTGACTAGATGATGCATTGTGGGCCTATCGTACTCCCACAAGACCCTAATTAGTGTCTCCGTATCGGATCATCTATGGTAAGTCCTGTCACATTCCGGTAGAGCTGGAGCATCGATCACATTGGGCGATTAAGAGCTGTAACTTTGATTTGGAGGTAGCTGGCCTAAACTGACTCCTTCAAATTTAAGAACTTGAAGAAATAAGGTTAGATGCCTTGATAAGTCTCATTATTTGCATACATTTCTAGCCCTAAACTCATGCTTTTGCCATCTATATTTGCATACTTTGGGCATAATTAGCTTCCATTGTGCATAAGAGTTGGTGAGAGGAATTGTGAGGTTTTGCAGGTGTTTTTACATGTTTTTATATGATTTTATATGTGTGTACTTTTGATCCCTGCTTTGGTGTGAATTTCAGGGAGTTTCAGTTCTGTTGAGGCGCCAAAGCGGATTTGGGAAGGCGCCACGGCGGATTTCCAAGGGGACTCTCAGTAAAAAGCACCGCAACGGATGGACAGAGGCGCCACAGCGGATTGGTATTTACATGAAGCTCAGGATCACTAATCAAAATGGCACCGTACAGGCCAGGCGCCGCGGCAGATGGACGAAGGTGCCGTGGCGGATGATGAAAAATTCCAGATTTAAATGCAGAGTCGCGCGCTTTAACCGAGAGAGCAGATTCCAGTTCCTCATTCATCTCCAGACGTGATTTTCTTGTTCTCTCCGCCTTCTCTCAATTCCTTCTTCCATTTTCGTCCAAATTCATCAATTTCCACCGATCAACCATGAATCTTTCATCAATTCTTGCTGTTTCTACCCTAATCCAGAGTATGAGTAGCTGAATTTCCAAGTTTTCCTAGCAATGAAGCTGACCTGAGTTCATAGAGCTGAACAGGGAGTCGTTTCAGATCTATTT